ATTACACGAGATAGCGCATAAACATCACATATTTTGATACAAGGAAGCAGGGGAACATTCGTGGTTAGTGATATTCTCTGAATTTGATACTAAGTGAACTAAGGCAATGTCTCAGAGAGTGCTGGCGTGGTTGACTATACAACGGCAATGATCGGAGTGAAGGTGTGAGGATACTTGAAGTGACACATCCGATGCGACGCTTTACACGAGGGACAACGGTGATGCGTACAAAGGACCGGAGTCCAATGAGTCGATATGGACAGGTCTGGGGCGGGACGCCAGGCTGCTAGCCGGCCGGCTGGTCGGCGCCACTGCTCAGCTCGTGCACGCGGCAGGCGTAGGCGGCGCCCGTGCTAATGCACGCGTGGAACTCGTGCGCGCTGCCGGTGAGGCCCTCCGTCTCGCAGTTGTCGATGACCTTGGTGAGCGTGGCCTGCAGCTGTGCGACGGTCTCCTCGTCGTCGCCGTTGAACTCGGCCACCATGGCGCGGAAGGCGTCCACGTTGACGCTGCCGTCGTCGTTGAGCGTGTCCATGGCGCCGAGGAAGCAGGCGGTGACGCTGTCGGCCCGCTGCGGCACGCCGGCGAACACCTGGTCCAGAGGGCCGACGACGGCCTCGGCACGTGCGATGTACTCGTCCACCTGCTGTTCGGTGAGCTGACGCTTCGGCGGCGGCGGCGGGCAGCGGCGGAACAGCGTGGGCCGGCACGGCCGCGGCGTCGGTCCGACGCCCAGCGCGCGCTCGACGCCCTCCAAGCCGCCGATGTGGCGCAGCAGCATCATGGCGTCGGTGTCGCGGCGTCGCCGGCCGGCAGCCGTCGCCGTCAGCCGCTGGCGCATGAGCGACGACACCTCCTCGGCCGTGCAGGCGGCATGGGCCATGATGGCGCGCGCCGACGGCCGAAGGCCGTTCGTCAGACACTTGCCGGCCGACTCGCGCACGGCCAACTCCAGCGTCGGTGACGTCTGGTTGGCGACGCCTAGCGCACAGTCGAGCCCGTTCAGTTCGCCGAGGCAGCGCAGCTGGAACTGCTGGCGCGCGGCACCGCTCAGTGCGGCGGGCGTCTCGGCGATGCACACCTGCGCCAGCTGCTTCTTGTGCTGCTTGAAGTCGTCGGGTGCCGTCATGCCGTCAGCTATGGCGTCGACGCCGCTCTGGCTGAGCTGGCCGTCGACCGTCAGGCTGAGGTTGGCAAGCAAGCACGTCTGCATGAGCGTCATGGCCCGCTGCTGCGCGCTCGCCTTGATGTTTTCGATCAGGCTGCGGCCCCAGCGGCGTCGGGCAGGGCGCTGGGGTCGACCCAGCGGATTACTCTTGACGGCGTTGTAAGAGTCCCGGATGCAGTTGCGCACGGTGTCTCGTGTGCTGTCGGCGAAGCTGACACCGGCCGGCAGGCAGCCGCTGTCGCCGGCCTGCGTTGCCAGCTGATTGATGTCGACATTCTCGATGTTCGCCATGACATCGTACTGAGACATCTCGGGCACGGTGAGGCCCAGCTCGTCCACCACCTTGCGGACAGCCGGCGACTGTAGTATGCGCTGGATCCGCGCCATGTCCTCGCCACCCGGCACTGTGGGACGCGCGGCGGTGGCGTTGGTGACATATGAGACTTAGTGGACGCGGTGAGATGGGAAAGAGAGTCGAATGTTGCTTTGGAAAAGTCTGAGGAGCACCGAATTGGCAACAGCTACACTGTTGAACCACTTGCTGAGACAAGTGGGCGCAGGGAACTTTTAAGTTATATGCATTGGATTAAAAAAGTGAGACGGTCCTCTCATGGCGGGCGTTCATAGCGTGGACGGGTGGAGACTGCACTGATCAGCACAAGCTACTACCAATGTACCCATACAGCACTCTGATAGCTACGAAACACTCGTGACCTTATGTGTTAGACATGGAAGCCGACAAGATATTGTGTTGCGTTATGTTTGTAATGATTAATTCAGCGATCTTATCGCACTAGCTAGAGTGCGTAACTTACTCATGGCGGCGGCGGTCGCAGCGAGCAGCAGCAGCAGCGGCAGCGCCGTCATCTTGTCGGACCGGTGGGTGGTGTGGTGCCCTCTGCCAGCCGTCCGGACGTTATATAGTGGGACGGGAGCCGTGTTACGCGTGCTGACACATGCTGACTCTTCCCAGCACCTCTGACAGCGATGGGTAGGTCAGGTGTGTCATCCTTGTCGAGTTCAGGTTTAACGCGTTTTTTTGGATAGTACGTGCACCGGGTACCCTCTGCAAAAGCGGCATAAACATCTGTAGCCTGTAGCCATCCCTTTATTTGTATTTCGGTTGAAGCCAACGGCTCAATTTAAGGAAAATTGTTCTGTCCTTCAGAGGCAACACGGCCTAAGCGCCATTAGTTCAAATAACACTTACACCTTTTTGCCTTCGCAACGCAGTATTGGATCGCTTTAGAATCTCTAAGATGAAACAAAGTAGGTCATGTGGCTAAAACCCAGTGATCTTACGTCTGTCTATATGAAGTGGAACAAAGGATACGGCTCTGAGCATGTTGGGAAATGTATTGTTGGACTACGTTGTCCGCTGTGAAGACATGTTTAACACATAAAAGACATGAGGTTTATGCAAAAAATATGTGTTGTGAATGGGATAAATGCGTGAGACAAAAGCCACTGAATTTCGCGGCTGTGTGAGCAGGAAATGATATAAGCCGTAATAAGTATCGACTGTGTTTTGTGCGTGCCATGGTACATCAGCCGCCTGTTGTATTCAGTTGGCAGCATTACACGCGGCTTTGCATTTCCTGGCAGAGCTGCTTGACGCTTGGTTTTCTCTTCTAATCGCTCCACACTTGCCCAGGAGAGCGATCATGCATGTTCCGCACATTTCTGATCTTAACATTTCCTGTAAGGCAGTCTGCACACGTTCCTATTGTTGATCATCACACTACATGAGACTCTCACGATATCATGACGTAACTGCAAACTACTGCATTTGTCATCTAGCAATACGAGGCTGGAAAACAACAAACCTCATGGTTATCTGTGCCTGTAATGGTGATTTAATTTGTGCTGCTCTATAACACCCGTCCGGGTGGCTGGTTGCGGTTAATTTGCCCCCTGAGATCTCAAAGACTAAGGGGGGTTGAGACACTTGCATTTCTATTGCATGCTTTTTTCATTAACATGGTTACGATGATGACGCTAAATCCACAGCGCAAGTTAGTCTATAGGTTAACACACTTCTATAAAACAAGTTTTGAGGCCCATCGGTCATGGCTTTCGGGTCAAATTCGTTCGAACTCAGCATTGATTTCCAAAGTGCCCCCAGACCTCGTACAACCGCCCTGGACCTAGATACCTTGTCTAAACGTGAGGTTACTAGTGTTCACTTTAGGTCAATTACCTTTTACCTATCGTAGGTCATTTTGACCAAAAACCTACGAGATTGCCTTCATTTTTCGGTTCAAATCTTCTTTATGGATTAGGCTTGGCGGTACATTCCTACCAAATGAAAGGTTGATCTGGGTCATTTAAGGTACTTGGGTCCCACTGACCTTTCAGAGGTCCTTGGAAGATGTCTGTTGCGGTCCCTGCTATAAAGAAATTTGATATGACCATCATGAACTACCAGTAAATCAAGCTCTTCATTAAGATAACAGGTTGTTTTTGACCTCAGTCTTATTTTCATTCCTCTCCCTAAGTCTAGGTAAGTTGTGTTAATTCTGGATTCGATTCTTTTATTGCCTAAGAAATCGGACAGCACTCACACACCATTACGAACAATCAGGGTCGAAAGAGCCATCACATCTGTACTGAGCAGGGAGCATAGTTGTGCAACATAAGTTTGGAGATTGATCATCGCAAAATGACTAGAAATACGGTTGAGTTATTGCGGCAACGGCTTTTTCCCCAGATTTAACCCAATGTCTTTTGCAAAGTTGAGGCTGGACATTCCCCTCCACCCATTCGACTAGGAGACCTCACCCCTCGTCCTGAGATTGACTGCAGTGGTCCCCACGACTCATAATGTGCATCGGTGGGAGGGATGGCTTTTCCAAGGAAAAGAGAAGGGCTTGTGCTCTGTCAGTTGCAGGCTGTGATATGATTCGAGTCATATAACGTTGAATAACTTCTGAGGTGGTGTGCTGGTATCGTATATCGTCTGTTGTATGGATATCGTTGGATCACGCCCGGTAACCTCAAGTGAGTTTCATAATGTGACCCATCAAAAGCGATTCGGCATGCCTGGTGCACTATTTTATCATCATCCCCCAAATCGTTTTTTTTTTCAATATGACGCACTGCGCACATTTTGCGTACTATCGTATGTCTCGAGCTAACCTGTCCATCGGTAGTGTTTAGAAAAGGTCATATCCGACAGACATGCCGAGAGACGAGTGCATCTTTGCAAAATCTGTCTGTTGATAATATTCGACAAGCGATATATATATATATATATATATATATATATATATATATAAATCGATAATCGACTATCGGGTACTGATTTTCATTTCGGTAAAGGCATGTAGCCGAATTATCAATTATCTGTCCATTGGCTTCGCTTTTTTACGTGGAATAGTGCTATCAGCACCGTGTTAGTTATGTGCATAAGGTTCCTCGCAAATTTACTGGAATCATCTCTGACTCAAAAAGAGAAGCATATACGATCCTTGAGCTTTGTTTTCCGAAAAGGGGGCATGTTTTGCATCAAACTAAACCTGAAGGCAGTTTATTTCTCGAACCACTTTGCGCATCGTGCGGATACTGCTTGTGGTGTGCGTGAAAGCCTTCTCACAGTTTGTCTATTTTTTGTTGTCTTTTAACTCCGTGTACGTTATAACACATGCTTAAGATAGCAGACACATATGGAGCCTGATGCTGTACACTTCTTTAGAGATATTGAATTGACATGGTTTGCATTCCACCTCAGGTTGTAGAATTGATTAACGTATGTCAGTAGCCAATGCAATTTCTAGACCCCTGGCATTCGTAATGATGAAATTTTTTGGTAGGCCACGGAACCGAGATATGATAGCTTAACCTTAAAGTTCCCTCTTTCTTTTTTGGCGCAGCGTGCATTATTTCAACCTTTTGCAGGTTCTGCCCTCCGGCGTTATCCTCGTGCAATACCGTGTGTGGTGCAGTGCCAACGCAAGCCACCCATTGAAGCCTTTGGCATATATTCTTTGTTGCTATTTGCAAACAGCACATTTTCGCATTTCCTTTGTGCTGTAGCATCTGTTTCTGTACATGCAGTAAGGTCTTCTTCAAAAGACAAATAGCTCTATTTTTACGAGCACACATTTATTACACGCGACAGGACATATCTGTGACACATATTTCTGATGCTGTCAAACTCCCCAACCTGCTAGTGCTCCCTAAAATCAACACGTTTTATCACGTCACGAATTAAGACAATATTTATTCAGTCTGAAAAGGTTTCTGGCGTGGTCGAACATACAACGGAAGTGGTCTGAGTGAAGGTGTGAAGATACTTTAAGTGACATCCGATGCGACGCTTTACACGAGGGACAACAGTGATGCGTACAAAGGACCGTAGTACGATGAGTCGATATGGGCAGGTCCAGGGCGGGACGCCAGGCTGCTAGCCGGCCGGCTGGTCGGCACCACTGCTCAGCTCGTGCACGCGGCAGGCGTAGGCGACGCCCGTGCTAATGCACGCGTGGAACTCGTGCGCGCTGCCGGTGAGGCCCTCCGTCTCGCAGTTGTCGATGACCTTGGTGAGCGTGGCCTGCAGCTGTGCGACGGTCTCCTCGTCGTCGCCGTTGAACTCGGCCACCATGGCGCGGAAGGCGTCCACGTTGACGCTGCCGTCGTCGTTGAGCGTGTCCATGGCGCCGAGGAAGCAGGCGGTGATGCTGTCGGCCCGCTGCGGCACGCCGGCGAACACCTGGTCCAGAGGGCCGACGACGGCCTCGGCACGTGCGATGTACTCGTCCACCTGCTGTTCGGTGAGCTGACGCTTCGGCGGCGGCGGCGGGCAGCGGCGGAACAGCGTGGGCCGGCACGGCCGCGGCGTCGGTCCGACGCCCAGCGCGCGCTCGACGCCCTCCAGGCCGCCGATGTGGCGCAGCAGCATCATGGCGTCGGTGTCGCGGCGTCGCCGGCCGGCAGCCGTCGCCGTCAGCCGCTGGCGCATGAGCGACGACACGTCCTCGGCCGTGCAGGCGGCATGGGCTATGGTGGCGCGCGCCGACGGCCGCAGACCCTTCTTCAGACACTTGCCGGCCGACTCGCGCGCGGCCAGTTCCAGCGTCGGTGACGTCTGGTTGGCGACGCCTAGCGCACAGTCGAGCCCGTTCAGTTCGCCGAGGCAGCGCAGCTGGAACTGCTGGCGCGCGGCACCGCTCAGTGCGGCGGGCGTCTCGGCGATGCACACCTGCGCCAGCTGCTTCTTGTGCTGCTTGAAGTCGTCGGGTGCCGTCATGCCATCAACTATGGCGTCGACGCCGCTCTGGCTGAGCTGGCCGTCGGCCGTCAGGCTGAGGTTGGCAAGCAGGCACGTCTGCATGAGCGTCATGGCCCGCTGCTGCGCGCGCGCCTTGATGTTTTCGATCAGGCTGCGGCCCCAGCGGCGTCGGGCAGGCCGCTGGGGTCGACCCAGCGGGTTACTCTTGACGGCGTTGTAAGAGTCCCGGATGCAGTTGCGCACGGTGTCTCGTGTGCTGTCGGCGAAGCTGACGCCGGCCGGCAGGCATCCGCTTTCGCCGGCCTGCGTCGCCAGCTGGTTGATGTCGACGTTCTCGATGTTGGCCATGACATCGTACTGGGGCATCTCGGGCACGGTGAGGCCCAGCTCGTCCACCACCTTGCGGGCGGCCGGCGACTGTAGGATGCGCTGGATCCGCGCCATGTCCTCGCCACCCGGCACTGTGGGACGCGCGGCGGTGGCGTTGGTGACATATGAGACTTAATGGACGCGGTGAGATGGGAAAAGGGTCGAATGTTGCTTTGCAAAAGTCTGAGGAGCACCGATTGGCAACAGCCACACAATTGGATCACTTGCTGAAAGACGTAGGCGCAGGGGAACTTTTAAGTTATATGTATTGGATTTAAAAAAGGGACACGGTCCTCTCGTGGCGGGCGTGCGCAGCATGAGGGAGCGGAGACTGCACTGATCAGCACAAAAGGTACTACCAATGTGCCGATACAGCACTCTGATAGCTACGAAACACTCGTCAGTTTATGTGTTAGACATGGAAGCCGACAAGATGTTGTGTTGCGTTGTGTCTGTAATGATTAATTCAGCGATCTTATCGCACTAGCTAGAGTACGTAACTTACTCATGGCGGCGGCGGTCGCAGCGAGCAGCAGCAGCAGCGGCAGCGCCGTCATCTCGTCGGACCGGTGGGTGGTGTGGCGCCCTCCGCCAGCCGTCCGGACGTTATATAGCGGGACGGGAGCCGTGTTACGCGTGCTGACACATGCTGACTTCCCAGCACCTCTGACAGCGATGGGTAGGTCAGGTGTGTCATCCTTGTCGAGTTCAGGTTTGACGCCGCATTTGTATGTGGTGCGGGTACCCGGCACTCTCTACAAAGCGGCGTAGACACCTGTAGCTTGTCGACATCCGCTTCTATGTATTTCGTTTGAATTCAACGGCTCAATTTAAGGAAAATTGTTCTGTCGTTCAAAGGCGAAACGGCCCAAGCGCCATTAGTTTAAACAACACTTACACCTTTTTGCCTTTGCACGGCAGTATTGGGTCGGTTTGGAATCTCGAAGATGAAATAAAGTAGGTCATGCGGCTAAAATCCTGTGATCTTTCGTTTGTCTACACTAATTAGGAGAAAGGATGCGGTTTTGAGCATGTTGAAAAATGTATTCTTTGACTGGTTCGTCCGCTGTGAAGACATATGTAACGCACAAAAGACATGCGATTCATACAAATATAGTTGTTGTGAAAAGGACCAATGCGTGAGACAAAAGCCACTGAATTTCGCAGCTGTGTCAATGATATAAGCCGCAATGACTATCGACTGTGTGTTGTGCATAACATGGTACGTCAGCCGCCTGTTGTATTCGGTTGGCAGCATTACACGCGGCTTTGCATTTCCTGGCAGAGCTGCTTGACGCTCGGTTTTCCTTTTCTAATCGCTCCGCACTTGCCCAGGAGAGCGATCATACATGTTCCGCACATTTCTTGTTAGGCAGTTCGCACATGTTCCGATTGTTGGCCATCATACTACTTGGTCCTCTTACAATATCATGAGGTAACTGCAAACTGCGGCATTCGTTATCTAGCAATACGAGGCTGGAAAGCAACAATCCTCAAGCCTGGCCGCGCCTGTAATTAGTAATTTATTTATGCCGCTCGTATTAAGACACCTCCCTGTGCGGCCGGTTAGAAACCTTTCGCTAGGGTTTCGCAGTTTACTTCCCCCCCCCCCGAGATATCAAATACTAAGAGGGATAGATGCACTTAATTTATTGGTTGAGTTAGTCTTCAGGCGAATTCACTTTTGCAACTGATTTTGAGGCCAACAGGTTGGGCCTCCGTGTCAAAAAAGTTCAAACTCAATATGGGTGTCCAGTGTCCCCAGACCTCGTGCAACCACTTTGACTTAGATGCCTGTTATACACGAAAGAGTATTGGTGTTCACTTCAAGTCAGTTACCTTGTTGTGCCCTTAGAGGGTCATGTTGACTAGGAGCTAGCGAGGATGGTTTGATTTTGTAATTTAGATCTGCGTTAAAGATTACGCCACGTGGTGTGTACTTCAAAACAAAGGGTTGATCTGGGTCACGTTAGGTTACCGGGCTATTATGACCTTTTATAAGTATGTGGAAGAATTTTGTTGCGGTCCCCGTTATCAAGAAATTTGTATTGACCAACAAATATACTCACAAATTGATATCTGCCGTAAAATAGCAGGTTGGTTTTAATACGAAATTCAATGTTCTGTGGTGTAAGAAACCAGACCACACCAACACACCATTGCAAATAATTAAGGTCCTATAGAGCCATCACATCTGTCCTGAGCATGGGCATAGTTTGACGAAATACATTCGGGGACTTGAACATTTGCAAAATGGCTAGAACTGCCTTAAGGTACGACAACAGCTTTTTCCGTCGATTTAACGTACTTTATTTTGCAAAGTTGGGGGGGGGGGGGGGAGGCTGGACCGCCCATTCGATTAGTAAACCTCACTCCTCGTCCTGAGACTGACTGCAGTGGTGCCTACGACTCATAATATGCACCGGTGTGAGGGACAGTTTTTTGAATGAAAGAGAAGGAATTGGGCTGAGTCATTTGCAGGACGTAATATGATCCGAATGATATAGCGTGGGATACCTTTTGAGATGCTTTACTGGCACATATCTCTTTTGCTGTACGAATATTGTTGGATCTCGCCCGGTAACCTCAAGTGAGTTTCGTATTATCACTCATCACAAGCGATTTAGCATGCCTGGTGCACTATGTTATCATGACCCCCGACATCATTTGCTCGCTATGACACACCTTGCACACATTTTGCGCGCCATCGTATGTCCCGAGCTAACCTTTCCATCGGTAGTGCCTCGAAAAGGTGATATCCGACAGACATGGCGAGAGACGAGTGCATCTTTGCAAAATCTGTCTGTTGGTGAAATTCGACCGACGACATTTATATATATATATATATATATATATATATATATATATATATATATATATATATATGTGTATATATATGTGTATATATACCCGAAAGATATCGGTGTATCTACCTGTTCATTGTCCTCGTAATTCTACGGGGAATGGCGCCATTAGCACCGTGTTATCCACGTGCATGAGGTTCCTCGCTAATGTGCTAAAACATCTCTTTCCCTGATAGGGAAGAATATGCGATCTTTGAGTTTGTCTTTGGAAAAGGAAGAGTGTTTTGCCTGAAGCTAAACCTAAAGGCAGTTTATTTCTCGAACCGCTTCGCGCATCGTGGTGATACGACTTCTGGTGTGCTTGAAAACGTTCTCACAGTTTGTCTATATTTTTGTTGTCTTTTAATTCAGTGTTCGTTATAACACATGCTTACGGTAACAGACACATAGAAGAGACATAGAAGACACAAAGGCATTGAACTAAGATGGTTTGTTTTCCACCTCAGATTATGGAATTGACTAACATATGTCGGCAGCGAATACAATTTCTAGACCCCTGGAATTCCTAATGATGAAACTTTGGGTAGCTCATGGAACTGAGGTGTGATAGTTGAACCTTAAAGCCTGTTCTTTCTTTTTTTAGCGCAGGGTGCATTATTTCCACCTTTTCCAGATTCTGGCATTTCGGCATTATCTTCGTGCAGTACCGTGTGAGATGCACTGTCAACGCAAGCCACGCAGTGAATCCTTTGTCACATAGTCTTTGTTGCTATTTGAAAACAGTACGTGTTCGCATTTCCTTTCTGCTGCAGCATCTGTTTCTGTATAGGTAGAAAGGTCTTCCTCAATAGACAAATGGCTATATTCTTACGAGCAAACATTTATTACATGAGACAGGACATATCTGTAACACACATTTCTGATGCAAGCAAGCTGTCAAACTATCAAGCGTACTAATGCTCCCTAAAATCAACACGTCGCAAATTAAGGCCATATTTTTCAGTCTAAAAATGTTTCTGGCATAGTTCAAAATACAGTGGAAGTGGTCTGAGTAAAGGTGCGAAAGTACTTGAAGCGACACACTCGATGCGACGCTTTACACGAGGGACAACAGTGATGCGTACAAAGGACCGGAGTCCAATGAGTCGATACGGGCAGGTCTGGGGCGGGACGCCAGGCTGCTAGCCGGCCGGCTGGTCGGCGCCACTGCTCAGCTCGTGCACGCGGCAGGCGTAGGCGGCGCCCGTGCTGATGCACGCGTGGAACTCGTGCGCGCTGCCGGTGAGGCCCTCCGTCTCGCAGTAGTCGATGACCTTGGTGAGCGTGGCCTGCAGCTGTGCGGTGGTCTCCTCGTCGTCGCCGCTGAACTCGGCCACCATGGCGCGGAAGGCGTCCACGTTGACGCTGCCGTCGTCGTTGAGCGTGTCCATGGCGCCGAGGAAGCAGGCGGTGACGCTGTGGGCCCGCTGCGGCACGCCGGCGAACACCTGGCCCAGAGGGCCGACGACGGCCTCGGCGCGTGCGATGTACTCGTCCACCTGCTGCCCGGTGAGCTGACGCTTCGGCGGCGGCGGCGGGCAGCGGCGGAACAGCGTGGGCCGGCACGGCCGCGGCGTCGGTCCGACGCCCAGCGCGCGCTCGACGCCCTCCAGGCCGCCGATGTGGCGCAGCAGCATCATGGCGTCGGTGTCGCGGCGTCGCCGGCCGGCAGCCGTCGCCGTCAGCCGCTGGCGCATGAGCGACGACACCTCCTCGGCCGTGCAGGCGGCATGGGCCATGATGGCGCGCGCCGACGGCCGAAGGCCGTTCGTCAGACACTTGCCGGCCGACTCGCGCACGGCCAACTCCAGCGTCGGTGACGTCTGGTTGGCGACGCCTAGCGCACAGTCGAGCCCGTTCAGTTCGCCGAGGCAGCGCAGCTGGAACTGCTGGCGCGCGGCACCGCTCAGTGCGGCGGGCGTCTCGGCGATGCACACCTGCGCCAGCTGCTTCTTGTGCTGCTTGAAGTCGTCGGGTGCCGTCATGCCGTCAACTATGGCGTCGACGCCGCTCTGGCTGAGCTGGCCGTCGGCCGTCAGGCTGAGGTTGGCAAGCAAGCACGTCTGCATGAGCGTCATGGCCCGCTGCTGCGCGCGCGCCTTGATGTTTTCTATCAGGCTGCGGCCCCAGCGGCGTCGGGCAGGGCGCTGGGGTCGACCCAGCGGGTTACTCTTGACGGCGTTGTAAGAGTCCCGGATGCAGTTGCGCACAGTGTCTCGTGTGCTGTGGGCGAAGCTGACGCCGGCCGGCAGGCAGCCGCTGTCGCCGGCCTGCGTTGCCAGCTGGTTGATGTCGACGTTCTCGATGTTGGCCATGACATCGTACTGGGGCATCTCGGGCACGGTGAGACCCAGCTCGTCCACCACCTTGCGGGCGGCCGGCGACTGTAGTATGCGCTGGATCCGCGCCATGTCCTCGCCACCCGGCACTGTGGGACGCGCGGCGGTGGCGTTGGTGACATATGGGACTTAGTGGACGGGGTGAGATGGGAAAGAGAGTCTGTGTCGCTTTGTAAAAGTCTGAAGAGCACCGAACTGGCAACAGCTACACAGTTGCATCACTTGCTAAGAGAAACGGACACAGGAGAACTTAGAAAACATGCGGTGCTTGAAAAGTAAGTCTGCCCTCTTGTCGTAGGCTGTGGCAGTATTGGCGAGTGATTGGCAGAACTAATGAGCGCAAAATTTACGATAAATATGCTCTTACAGCACTCTAATAGCTACGGAACACTCG